GACATTAGTTGTTTTTTAGTCTCAGGACGAGGCAGTTTCACTATGGCTTTAACACGTGAATCTGCAATCTCCCTACCCTCTGCTTAGATTCAATGACCCAGAAACGTAACAGTGGTCTGCAAAAAATGTAGCTTAGACAAAGATGCTTTATGTCCCTGCTCAGCCAAATACTGAAGCTAGCGGACAATGTTTTCCTTACAGGACTGTTCAGAAGGCGTGGCCAGTGTAGTGATACAGGGACAGCTTTGCTGTAGCTTCACTACTAATTAATTATTCTTAAACCCAGCAAGGCTGTCATTCAATGCTTGATGAAAAATGGTAGATGATTCACAGTAGCCTTGACAGAGGCGAGTGAACGTGTAAGATCTCCCCAAAAACTGAAATGCAAACCAAAATTGGCTATCTGGATGCACAGGGACACTGAAAAATGCATTTGCCAGATCTATTATGGAGAAATGGGTGGAGCCTGATGGGATTTGTGACAAAATCACATAAGGGTTTGGGACAATGGGGGCACGAGCCTGTACTGCAGAGTTCACAGCTCTCAAATCTTGAACAAACCGCCACTCACCTGGTGGTTGAGGCCTAATTTTCTTTACAGGAAAAGTAAGTGTTCTGACAGGTGAGGATGGGCAAGGGGCTATTACTCCAGCTTCCAGCAAAGCGTGGAAAACAGGAGTAATTCCCTTTTCTGCCTCAGGTTTGAGTGGGTACTGAGGTATTTTAGGTCTGTAAGAGGATTTTGGTGTAATTTCAATGGGCTCCTGGCCTTTAATTAATCCTACATCATACTTAGTTTGAGCCCACAGATGTGGGGGGACTTCTGCCAATTCAGGGCTGTCCAGAGACAACATGGACATTGTTAGTCATGCATTATTGTCAATCACTTCCTTTGTAGGTCGTGCTGTCAACACGTGACAAAAATCTTGTCTGTACATGTTGAGAGAGAGTGAGAAAAAACAGCTGTCACGTGGTTCCCAGTCTGGGGCAGTGTGTGCTCTTGAGTGCTAAAGGACCCAGAGAACGCCACTGTGAATCAGATGGTTTAGCCAGTGAAACATGTGGGAAAGAGTCAGTCACTGTGAAATAAGGTGTTTTTAGGTGTCACCTTGTCATTCAGAGTCAACAAAACAACAGTCATGTGTCCAGCAGATGGACGAAGTGACAAGTTCTGTGTCTGGTGTCAGCAAAAATGAGTCTCCTAAATGATCAGCAGGGTCTGAAGTCACACGAGCAGTGCAGTGTAAACGCTGTTCAGACATTAAACAGGTTGTGGGTGGGAGTCTATCTCTGGCCATGGTGAGCAGAGAGTTTTGCTGAGCATGGCCTGTTAACAACCATTCAAAAATGTACAATAATTCAGGAGCGAGAGAAACGAGTGTTAGTATTTTCTTCCTGTTTTGACACAAGTAGACCTTCAGGTCCACAGCTGAGTGTCAGCCTAAATTTTAGAATCAAATCTCTAGCCAGTAAATTTACTGGGCAGGAGCCTGACAGCAAAAATTGATGTTCATGTGATGATTGATCGAACGGGTCTATAGTTTTCAAAGGAGCCGTGACAACCTCAGGAACAGTCTGTTCAGACGCTCCAGTGGAATGTACAATTTTGCCTGAGAGAGGAGCGTCAGGAAAACATTTTTTCATGATCAAAGATTGTGTCGCTCCTGAGTCTACAAGAAATTTAACAGGGACGTCTTCAACCAACACTGTGAGCGTAAGTAACTTCAGATACGCTGCCTGAGTGTATTTGTAATATGTAGGAACGATCTCGCCTGTGTCTGACTGAAAAACAGGTGTGTGTGTACTGGTACTTATAGTTTGGAGTCCTGGGACTCAACCTCCCGGCACTAGTCATGTGGAGTGCCCACCTCTCTGACCTCGGCCACCTAGGTGCCCAGAGCCACGTCCACCTCGTCGGTGTGGGCTCGGGAAAAAGTTCTGTTCATCTTGTGACTGTTGCTGGTTTGAGCCGTATTGTTTATGCCTCGGCCCGTATGGGTGGTGTTGATATGGCGGGCGACTCCTGCCACGCCATTGATTTTTCTTATGAGGACAATTTCTGATCCAGTGATCCAAAACTCCACACAGGAAACAGGGTTGAGGTCCAGCAGGATAATCTTGACCTTGATTTGCTTGAACAGGCTGAGGTGGTGGTCTTGGTGTTTGAGGTAGTCTGGGAGTGGTTGCATCCAATGTCAGCTGTGTGGCAGCCTGGAGCAGCGTAAGCTGAGCGTCCTCAGTCTGCTTCTGTTTCCTTTTCTGTGTGGTGGTCTGCTCAGCGGTGTGTTGGTCCCAAGCGTGCCTGGCGTGTTTCAGCAGTTCATTCAGGCGGACGCCAGATTTCCATCCTATGTATGTGCTCTGAACAGCTTTGCGGATGGATGGTATGAGTCCACTCATCAGGTATTGACAGAAGATGGTCTCAAAGGATGAGGGTTGGGGTGTTTTACGCCAGTCATTGAGGGGTGCAGTGATACCAGAGTGTGTTCTGAAAACAGGAAGTAATCTGTTGGAGAAATCCTGTGGACTTTCATCTGGTTTTTGCATGGTGTCTGTGATGACTGAGAAGCTTGGAGTTTGAGGAAACGCTTCTTCTATCCGCTGCTAGATTTTTTCTAGATTTCTTCTGTAGAGAGTGTTGTCTAAGTGATCAAAGTTGACATGAGCGAGCCGTTGGCCATCAGCATCGTCAAAAAGGTCATTCCCCACTGCGTTAATGAAGCCAATACCATATACAGAGGCCAGTATCAGCTTGAGTTCTACCAAAGTGGGTCGGACCACAGCAACCATGTTTGTCACAGCGGTGGAAACAGGAGCTCCTCCTTGGGCTATGTCGGGCAGATGTTGACTCTCCATTTCGATCAGGGTTGCTTTTGGCCAGGCTCGATATACCACTTGAAGGCCAGTCGGTCCACCGACCTCCAACATAGGGTTTGTATGAACCGTGTCGTTGGTGTCTTCTGTTGCGTCATTGTCCTCAGGGTCGTTTTTACCCTCTTGACTTTTTTGTTGATGGGCTGCACTTTGTCCTTTGAGTTCTTTAATTTGCCGCTCGAGCGTGGCGGATTGTTCTTCTAGTTGTTTTTTCTGTTCCTCAAATTTTGCTTTTTGTCTGGTTATCCTCGTGTCTGCTGCCTGTTCTTCTGGAGGTGGAATGACTGTGGATGACGTTCCTTCTCCCAGGGGGGATTCATCAGTGGGTCCGTCCTCCTCTTCTGGAACGGGACCATGGCCTTGGAAGTCATCATCTGAATCAAGCGCCCACACGGGGGGTGGGTGTTGGATACGATGCAGAGGCGGCAGATAATTTTTTCTTGTTCTTTTTGTCTTTTCTTGGAACTGGTGGTGCGTAGGGTGGAGGAGCGGTGAGGCCAGTCAGGGATGGGTAAAGAGGTACTGTGGGAAGGCAGAGATCCGCAGGACTCCGGTGCATGTGAAAGAAAAGAAAGAGAAGGGAGAGATACGTTTAATTTGTCCTTTAACGATCTAGTTTCTTTTCCTGACTTAGCTTCTGGGGTATTTTGTGAACTTGTCATTGTCTCATTTTTTAGAGCCAATTTGGTTGACTTTTCAATTTTCTGAGTCATTTGAAATGTTTTAGACGCTATTTTTTGAATAATTGCTTTGGATTGATTTTTCCATAGTTTATACGCCTGTTCATGATTATGCATTGCTGTGAGCATGTCCTGTGGAATCTTTTTCATTTTACACATTCTTTGTTTTTGACCTAATAAATGTTGTTCTAATTTTTGAATTTCTGCTAGGTCAAAAGAACCATTTTTGGGAAAATCAAATTTGGAATACCACTGAGAAACAAAAGTGAGACTCAAATCTCCGTGCAGTTTGTGCATCCTGTCAGCTTCTGGACCGCAAGGAATGTAATCCTCTGCTTTACTGTTTCCTGATCCCATTTTCTATGTCCTTATTCCTCAGTCTTCCTAGTGAGACTTACCTCGTCCTATTTTTATAGGTCTACCTGGGTTTTTAATTTAAAACCTACTTTGTCTCAATTTTTTTATTTCTCAGCCCCTTCTCAGGTATCTACCTCGATTTGTGTCATACAAATCTACCTCGTTTTTAGATCATTAAAACCTACTTGATTGTCTTGATTTGTTTATACACAAATCTACCTCGGTTTTGTAATAAAACCTACTTTTATATAAAATTGTTTTTACCTTTGTTTTGATATGGGTCTCTCAGTCAAGTTCGGATCCTGTCGAAGCCGGCCCCCTCCGATGGAGAGCCAGAACGCCCTCCCTTCTCTAATGTCCTACTGGAGGTTGGAGGAAGAATCAGTGATTCATTGAGATCAGTCCCGTCCTGGCTTCCAGCAAAGTGGACAGGCCAGCGAAGGATCCTGTTCGTGACGCCAAATTATGGAGTTTTATCAAACCTGTTGTTCAATAAAATTTAGAAGACTGAGAACTTTGTTTAAAAACACGTAGCAAAGTTTATTTCTCTTTTGCAGAAGGAGAACACATGAAAAACATGCAGCTCAGTGAGTTCTGTGTGTTATGAAAAAACATGAGCAGTACAGCTTCATTTATACACCTCCACACGTCATAAAACATTCCTGGCCCCATTGGGCAGTTGACAGGTTCCAGATGGTGGATCCTTTACCTTAAGGGCCAAGACAAACAGTTCCTTGTTGGTCGGGTCAGGCGCATCCCTATTGCAGTGATTTATGTGCGAGCAGTTTCTGGGAACCAATATTCTTATGGCTTCACACGCTCAACAAGGCCCCTCTGACTTCCTGCCCCATGGTGTGATGAGAAACAGTTTCAATAGGAAATGGCATGCGGGTGGTCTCAAATAGATGGACATCACAACTTAACTAAATAATATGCATAAGACTTGACTAAAACAATACAAAATACTTGAGTATATTCTTTTCCCTTCACAAAGCAATGTTTTGTTTGTCTTTGTAGAATATATGATTGAAACTCTTCAGAAGACTCACCTGTTTCTGTCCCCCTGCATAAAATCTGCACTCTCTTTAGTTCGCAGAGGAGACGTCCTGGCAGCGTGGAGCGGCATTCGTCCCCTGGTGACCGACCCAAACTCCAAAGACACCCAGTCTATCTGCAGGAACCACATCGTCAGTATCAGTGACAGCGGGCTGGTCACCATCGCAGGTCAGCTGCGTCCCAGACTTCTCTGACAGGAACTGTTTCCTGTCTGTGGCTTTAACACTTCGCTCTGTGTTCAGGTGGGAAGTGGACCACCTACAGATCCATGGCTGAGGAGACTCTGGACGCCGCCATCAAAGGTCTCGGCCTCACAGCTGAACCCTGCAGGACTGTGGGTCTGATGCTGGAGGGAGCAAAGGGCTGGACGCCGACGCTCTACATCCGCCTGGTGCAGGACTACGGCCTGGAGAAGGAGGTTAGACAGAACGAGATGCTTCCTGTGAAAACAAAGAACGCCGAGCGTTGCTGGGTTTGTTTAAAGAAGCTGAAACTGAGTTGTTGAATTGAAAAGTCAAGTCAAGTCAACATTATTTATAGAGCACATTTAAAACAGAACCTGTTATCAAAGTGCTTAACAATAACAACAAAAACAATCAATGAATAAATTAAAGAGAAAAATATATAAACATATATATATATACACAATACACTAATAATGATAACTGAAGAATTAATAAAAAGCATTTAAAACATAAGGTCACAGATTAAAAAAAACACTAGAACAATTTACACTGTGTGAAATGCCTGAGAGAACAGATATATTTTTAGCAGGGATTTGAAGTGAGGAATGGAGGTGGCTTGCCTGATGTTGGGGGGCAGGTTGTTCCAGAGTTTGGGGCCCATGACTGAAAAAGCCCGATCTCCTCTGAGCTTCAGTCTTGTTTTTGGAACAGCCAAAAGCAGCTGATCAGATTATCTCAGGGCCCGAGAGGGAACGTAAGGTTCCAGAAGCTCAGAGAGGTAAAGGGGTGCGAGGCCATTTAGGCATTTGAAGGTCAGCAGAAGAATTTTAAAAACTATCCTCGTAGGAACAGGGAGCCAGTGAAGGGAGGACAGAACTGGTGTAATATGTTCAGACCTACGAGTTCCGGTTAAAAGCCGAGCAGCAGCATTCTGGACAAGCTGAAGACGTGAGATGGAGGCCAGGCTGACCCCAGCATACAGTGCGTTGCAATAGTCCAATCGGGTCATGACAAAGGCATGGACTAGTTTCTCAAGGTCGGGTCTGGACAACACTGGCTTGAGTTTAGCTACCTGTCTGAGTTGGAAGAAGCTTTTCTGCAGAACAGAGTTGATTTGTTTGTCAAACTTAAAATCAGAGTCTAAAACCATCCCGAGATTTTTACCAGACTGCTTCAGATATGGCTGAAGAGAGTCCAGGTTGACAGGATCAGTGGCGGCAGTTGAGCTAGGGCTAAAGACAACGACTTCGGTCTTGTCATTGTTAAAACTTAAGAAATTTGAAGCCATCCAGGCCTTAATGTCATCCAGACATTTTAACAGAGGGTGAATGGAGCAAACACTTGCTGGTTTCACAGGCAGGTAGATCTGGCAGTCATCAGCATAGCAATGGAATGAAAGACCATGTTTCTTCAGGATGGACCCCAGTGGGAGCAAATAGAGAGAACAGAAGGGTCCAAGAATCGAACCCTGTGGGACCCCACATGAAAGAGGTAATGAGGCGGATACATTGTTACCAACCTTGACACAGAAGCTCCTGCCACTCAGGTATGAGCGGAACCATTCTAATGCAGCACCTGTGACCCCAACCCACTGTTCCAGCCGTGATATGAGGATACTGTGGTCAACAGTATCAAAAGCAGCAGTAAGGTCCAGGAGCACAAGTACCACAAATTGACCAGAATAGTTTGAGATCATAATGTCGTTACAAACCCTTACTAATGCTGTTTCAGTGCTGTGGAGTTGCTTAAAACCAGATTGAAAAATTTCGAAGATTCTGTTCTCATTCAAAAACTTGTTTAATTGAATGAAAACTTTTTTCTCCAGGATTTTGGACAGGAAGGGAAGTTTTGAGATTGAAAGGATCAAAACAAAAGCTAAAATTAGCTAAATAGGGTCAAAGTTCGTGCTCAATAATCCAGGTAGAAAATCCAACAAAGTTCAGTCAGGTCATCTGGACGGTTTCTTTTTCTTTTTTTTTTTGGTGAGACGTTTCGTCCTTCATCCAAAGGACTTCATTGGTCCGAGGGGCCACAACAAACTCAATCCCACCAGCAGCACACTCACATAGTGGACCAACAGTTTGCTGGAGATAAGATGGTTTCTGGGGCCCGCCCTGTCCCCCGTCAACTCCTCTGAGGCAGCCATAACCAGAGTGGTTCAAAACCTCAAAGTTCATGTGAGGTCATCTGGACGGTTTCCTTTTTTTTTTTTTTTTTGTTGAGATGTTTCGTCCTTCATCCAAAGGACTTCATCAGTCCAAGGAGCCACAACAAACTGGAGTCCCACAAGCAGCTGGTTGGTCCACTATGCGAGTATGCTCCTTGTGAGACTCAGTTTGTTGTGGCTTCTCAGACTGACGCAGTCCTTTGGATGAAGGACAAAACATCTCAACAAAAAAAAAAAGAAACAGTCCAGATGACCTGACTGAACTTTGTTGGATAGCTAAATAGTGATTAATAGCTAAAAACTAACTTTAGTGAACCAGTAGCTACAAGCAAAAGTTGGCTAATCAATAGCAATAAATAAATAAAACTATCAAAGTAGAAGCTTAAAACAAAAATGGCAAACCGTAAATAAAAGCTAAAACCAACAAATTACATTACTGTAAAAGTAAGCTGGGTAGCAGAATAACAAAAAACTAAAACTCGTAAAACTGTAACTAAAAGCTAAATTGAGCTGTCCTGCTGAAGTAGATTTTAATTAGAACTGTTATTTTAAGGGTTTAAAGAGTCCTTAAAGCATTTCTTATAGGAAAAATGTATGGTAAATAAAATAAATAAATTGCAAATATTAAAATTGAATAAACACCAAAGGTCATAGCTGTAACGTCCTAAACAAGCTAAATATTTTGATCAATGAATGGTCAAAATGGCCAAAGTAGTTACTCCAAATAAATGTATGAAAAAGACTATAAATAGGAAAATGGCGTGAATGCTGAGTCAGCATTCACACATTACTTACATTCAAAGTGTTAAACTCACGATTCTTTTTGTTCTGTCATTGCAGACAACATTTCTTAAGATGATCTTAGTCTAAAACTTTTTAAACTTAACCCAACAAAGTCCAGTCAGGTCATCTGGACAGTTTCTTTTTTTGTTGTTGAGATGTTTCGTCCTTCATCCAAAGGACTTCATCAGTCCGAGGAGCCACAACAAACTCAGTCCCATAAGTGACTTACGGTTTTGAACCACTTTGGCCATGGCTGCCTTAGAGGAGTTGATGGGGAAGAGGGTGGACTCCAGAAACCATCTTATCACCATAAAACTGGTTGGTCCACTATGTGAGTAAGGACTGATGAAGTCCTTTGGATGAAGGGCGAAAAAAAATTTAAGTTAAATTTTTTCAGATAGAAATGTTCTTCTAGATAACTGTTCATTTCTGACAGGTGAGAATGAGATTTTGTCAGAGAGTATTCTGTTGACATAGTAAAAAAACTTTTTAGTAGTGACTAGAGTGTGGCTTTTATGCTACAACAGCCTGCCGTACACGTGGAGCTGACATTAAATCTGACATTTCTAAGGCACAGAAGACCAGAGTCACGTTGAAACGCAGCAAGATCCATTCAATTTATCAGCGGTGTTTGTTTCGGACGCATCGACCTCCGTCAGCTGCGGCGCAGCCTCCGATAATTAGCTTGCCGGTTTTTATTAAAAGCGGCAGAACACAGAGTGCTAGTCTACGGTAAACTCACTCCTCATTAGCTGCAGCCGCAGCAGCCAACGGGTTCTGGAGAATATTCCTTAAAGGTCAGTGTTGATATTTGGACAGCGTGTGGCCTTTCACACGATCGGCAAGCCAGCCGTCTGAATAACAAACAGATTCTTCTGAAAACGGACGACGACTCACAGACAAAAGGGAGCTCAGGTTTTATTCTAAAACAAGAAGATGACATGGATTATCTGAAAATTAAAGGTCTAGCTTTGATTGGAAGGCAATGATGATTAGCCTTGTAAAAAAAAAAGTCCTGTGTTAGCTCATTTGTCCAGGTAACGCTCAAAATGTGTTGAGGATCACTCTCAGCTACTACCCCACCATATTTAAGCTCGGCAGCTAAATCTGACTAAATTAGAGACATTTTGAGGGCTTGCTGTGGTCATTGTGAGTTTCTTTTCAAAATGTCTAATTTTTCAACTGATATTTTGAAACAAACACACACAGGTAAAGACATTATTGCCTTTTTGGCTTTGGCAGAAGAAATAACCAGGAATTGCAGCTGATGTGTTTTTATTAAAGCTGTGCAGAAGTTTTGTATGTACCTCTGTTTTACTCATAATAATTACAATAACTAGAGAAATTGCATTCCTGAAAAATGCTGTGTGAATGCTTATTTGAAGAACTTGCTGAGAAACGGCTGAAATTAGCTAAAACATGCTGAAATGTAGCTGAAATGTAAGAACAAGCCTAAATTAGCAGAAGAAATCAGAAAGAACACATATTTGCTGAATTGGGTTTAAATAAGCAGAAATAAGCACATAAATTATAAAATTGACTAAAAAATCTGAAATGTGCAAAAAATTGCTGAAAAATAACTAAAAAGGCAGAAAGAAGCTTAAACGACTGGAAGAAAGTGTAAGGAGCTGAAATGAGCTAAAATATATGGAATTAGCTGATAAAACTAAATTTAGCACAAAACAGCTAAAAAGTAGCTGAAACTAGCAGAAAAAAGATGAAAGGAGCATAACGTGAAATTAGCATAAAGAAGTTAATTCGATGGAAAGTAACAGAAATTGTCACAAAAAAATTGAATTGATCTGAAAAGAGCTACAATTAGCTAATTAATGCTCAAAGTAGCTGAAAAGGTAGAACAAGCTTAAATTAGCAGAAGAAAGCAGAAAGCATATGTTTGCCAATTAGGCTGAAAAGCAGAAATGAGCACAAAAAATTGGAAATTTTCTATAAAAAAAAAAGCTGAAATTGGCAACAACAACAAAAAAAAACACAGCTGGAAAGTAGCTTAAGGTCGTTTTCACACCTGATAGTCCTGTAGACTCAGTTCGATTGGGGACCAATATTCATGAGCTTTTGTGTTTGCATTCACACTGCACTGTGCAGTCGAGTCAACCTGTTGAACCAACCTATTCCCCCGCTCGCCTGTGGGGGCGCTGCACCAAGAACTACTGAAAGAAACGACACAAAAACCTCTGAAGACACGTCTTCTTCTTCTTTTGTAAATAAAAACAAAAACGAAGTGGCATCAAGTTTTAGCAGTTTTAGGAGTTATATTTTGTCATTTTTCAAAAATGGACTCAGCATGAGCAGAAGATGAGACAGAAGACCATGGAGAATATTGTTTTTCACACAAGGCAGCTGACGGCTCCATATAAGGTCAGAGAAATGCGTGTTTGTTTGTCCTGCGGAGCGGGGCTCGGTCTGTTTACATTCACACTGCACTGGAACCGCGCTGGAGTTCTCTTCTACCGGACCGAGACCTAGGTTTTAGCCCGGGCCAGAGTTCGCCTTTTTGTTCCATGACAGAGTTCGATGGCGCGTTCACACCTCCCTAAACAAACCGGACTTTCAAGGAAAACGAGCTAGAGTTCGATTAAAGCGGACTAAACAGGGCTAGTGTGAATGCACCCTAAAAACCAGAAAGAAACTTAAATTACCAGAACAAAGTGGAGAGAGCACATTTTTGCTGAATTAGGCTGAAAGAAAGTTGTAATGAGTGCAAATAATGTGGCATTAGCTGAAAAGGCTAAAATTAGCATATAAACAGCAAAATAGCTGAAATAGCAGTAAAAGCTGAACCTTGCAGAAAGAACTTGAAAGGAGCACAAAAGAGCTGAAAAACCTTTTGAAATTAACTGAAAGTAGCAGAAAAAAGTTTAAATTTGCACAAGGAAGCTGAAAGAAGCTGATGCAGAACAAAATGTGAAAGGAGCAGTAAGAGGTTGTAAACAGAGCTAAAGAGATGAAGGATGTAAAATGAGCTCAATTCATTTTCTATGAGGAAAAAAGTGACAGAAAAGGCTAAATGTTTCAAAAAGCTAAAGGTGCACCAGTACCAAAAGTCATAGCAGGATTCTCCTGAACAAGCCGAATGTTTTGATATGATTTGTTGAAATAGCTTAAAAACTGCAGGACGAGAATTGCACGGAAAAACATACTGAAGAACAATGGACTTCATAAACATTCACATTATAAAGATAATTTTGTGTGTTCCTGTTGCTCAGGTTGCCCAACACTTGGCGTCGACCTACGGAGGAAAGGCATTTGACGTGGCCAAAATGGCTCAGGTGACAGGACAGAGGTGGCCGATCGTTGGGAAAAGGCTGGTGTCTGAGTTCCCCTATATTGAGGCCGAGGTAAAACCGGAACACCGTTCAGTCAGGTTACGGCCTGGTTCTGTGTCTGAGGAGTCTGACATCATGTCTTCTCCCTCAGGTCCTCTATGCCATCAAAGAGTACGCCTGCACCGCTATAGATGTCATGGCTCGCCGAACACGCCTAGGCTTCCTGAATGTTCAGGCAGCGGACGAAGCTCTCCCACGCATCGTCCAAATCATGGGCAAAGAGCTGAACTGGAGTCAGGAGAAGAAGACGGTACCTGTTTCTATAACAAATGCTGTATTTAATTAAAAATAAGTTAAATTTAAGCATTTACATTTAGATTGAATGTGGTGAATTATTTTACTGAAATTTGCTGAGGAAGCTGAAACAGAGTTGTAGTTAAAACAAGCAGAACAGAAGCAAAAATGAGAAAACATAAGCTAAAATGAGAGGAACACAGGCTAAAGTTAGCAAAATAGAAGGCAACATGAGCAAAATGGGGGGGGGGGGGGTTTAAATGAGCAACACAGAAGCTAAAATGGGTGAAACCACTAAAATGAGTGAAACACAAGCTAAAATGAGTAAAACAAGCTAAAATGGGAGGCATACAGCTAAAATTAGTCACACCGAAGGCAACATGAGCAAAATAGGGGGTTTAAATGAGTAGAACAGAAGCTAAAATGAGTGAAACATAAGATAAAATGAGTGAAACACAAGCTAATTTTAGAGAAACAAAAATGACCACTTTCAGGGGAATTTAGGTGAAGGTTATGGATGTTTATTAGCAACTATTGTTAAACTATGATGTGTGAGTTAGAGTTGCTTTGCCCAAGCGAGACAGCTCAGAGCTCTCTAAAGAGCATGGATAAATCCATGGATTTATCTGACATTTGGTCCTTCGAGCCGGATAATGTCAGATAAATTAATTATCCTTTCATCATCTCTTTACTCAAATAAGCCACTCTGAGGACACAATAAGACTTTTCAACCTAGTTTACGCCTTACAAGGGTGCATAATTCAAAACAGGCTTACACAGATGTTACATTGAAGCTCAGGTCACAAGGCCTGCCCACGGACAGTATAAAGAAGTGCCTTTTTATAATGCTTATCAGACAGAGACGAGGTCAGGATTAGGGCTTTAACAGACTACTCGAGTAATCTACACATCGCTTCCTAGGACACCTATCGAGGTTTTTAATTTCATGTCGAGTATTCGTGGTGATGTCATTACGCCACCGTTATGTCATCGCGTCACGTGATCCGCACCGGGCGCGGGTTACAAAATGGATTCCTCCAAGCAGACGGATGGAGCAGAGTAGACCTAGTCTTGACAAACAGGTAGAAATGCATCAGTAGTCTGGAAATATTTCACTAAAGATGAATCTTCTGGTTCAACTACCGTAAGGAAACAGAAAGTGAAACAACTTCCTGACTGTTTGGAGCGCATTGCGAACCGGTGTTACACCATATTTTGTGACCGTAGGGGGCGGTGTTGCATGCACTGTTGCAGGTCACAGAATATGGTGGAACACCGGGTCCAATTGACCGAACCAGAACCAGCTTCCTCTGACCTTGTTTCACAAACAAAAAAGCAAAAAATATTAATCTCTAAACCTATGAAAAAACCGATAAACATATTAACCTCTAAAACTAAACTTAATGCGCAACACAGCTGGCGGTGGTGTGGGGTGGTCGACCCCCCCCACTGTTTTTAGTTTCGTTTTTGACGTGCCGCATGTTTCTTCACTTTTGCAGCTTAATAATAATAACTAAAAGTTTAGTTTTTCCTGTGACTTATTTGGTGTATGATAAATAGTAGGAGCATAATATATGCTCCCAATTTTTTTATTTAAAAAAAAAAAAAATTAAAATAATGACCTTTTTTGCGGTTTTATTTATTTATTTTTGTATCTTTAGATCCTATGATGTCATCAAGTACTCGAGTTTTACTCAAGTTTTATTATGTTAATGTCGAGTTTAAAAATTATGTAGTCGTTCAACCCCTAGTCAGGATGGTCTCTGCTTTCCAGCTTACTGACGACGGACGAGGCCTTGGAGTTTATCAGGTGCACAGGCTCCATGCTCTTCAGAGAGCTCTGAGCTGTCTCTCTTGGGCAAAGCAACTCTAACTCACACACATTAGTTTAACAATAGTTACTAATAAGCATCCATAACCTTCACCTAAATTCCCTTAACAACTACTAATTGACTTTTTAATTAAATAAAAAATCCAGGAGGAGCTGGAAGCAGCCAAGAAGTTTTTGTACCACGAGATGGGCTACAGGTCTCGTTCTGAGCAGCTCACAAAGACGTCTGAGATCAATCTGGACTACCAGGAAGTAGTCAGGTACCTGAATGTTTTGTTTTCTCTCTCAGCTGTGACGCGCCTGTTTATATAAGCGCCGTTAATTAGTTACGTGTGCCGCAGGTACAAGAAGCGCTTCCATAAGTTTGACAAAGAGACTAAAGGCTTCATCACCACGGTGGATGTCCAGAGAGTTCTAGAGGTGAGTTCCTCTCAGGCCGTCTTTCGTCTCCACACAGTCGTTACACGTCATTGATCCACAACTCGTCTGTTTCGTCTGCAGAGCATCAACGTCCACATCGACGAAAACGCTCTGCATGAAATCCTTAATGAGGTGGACTTGAACAAGAACGGACAAGTTGAAATAGACGAGTTCCTTCAGGTTTGTTGTCAACATTACAGCTTCTGTAACGCTTCAGCAAGGACCATTTAAAATGACCCCGACAACCAACATCAGCTGAGGGTTTAAAACAAAAACTGGATTTTATGTGTTGATATTTGTAGTCTTTAGCCACTCAATTTTTATTAATATGATCTAAAGGCTGATTTGTACCTCAGTTTCAGTCCTTGTTCCTGACTATGGCCGCGTACTGCTCAGTGTGTGTCAGCCTAGAACAACTTTCTGCAGCAGATCAACAGGATCTTTGGTATTTTTCATAGATTTTACAAATGAAATTGGATCAGTTGAGTTCAAGTTTTTGTTAGGTGTCAAGAAAACTGGTTAATCCTTCAGTTTAGGAGCTTTTAATGCCTGAAAGATTCACATTAGGTCACTTCAAATAATAGAAAAGTTTAGTAGATATACTTATTATATCTACTAGTGAATATGGTGAGAACAGGGAACAGGTGGAAGAGAACTTGGAGAGGTAGAGGTATGCACTTGAAAGAAGAGGAATGAAAGTCAGCCGTAGTAAGACAGAGGACATGTGTGTGAATGAGAGGGAGGCCGGTGGAACAGTGAGGCTACAAGGAGCAGAGGTCACAAAGGTGCAGGACTTCAAGTACTTGGGGTCCACTGTCCAGGAAAATGGGGAGTGTAGTAAAGAGGTGAAGAAGAGAGTCCATGCAGGATGGAGTGGATGGAGAAAAGTTTCAGGAGTGATTTGTGACAAAACGGTGTCAGCAAAGGTCAAAGGAAAAGTTTACAAGACAGTGGTGAGACCAGCTTTGTTGTATGGTCTGGAAACAGTGGCATTGACAAAAAGACAGGAGAAAGAACTGGAAGTAGCAGAAATAAAGCTACTGAGGTTCTCCTTAGGATCAGAGGTACAGCACAGGTTGAACAACAGGGAGATAAAGTTAGAGAGGCCAGACTGAGATAGTTTGGACTTGTCTAGAGGAGGGTCAGTGGGGATACTGGTAGAAGGATGTTAGAAATGCAGCTGCCAGTGACACAATCCTCTGTTTTTTGACCCATTGGCAGGCAGACGAGCGAGGCAGGGGTTTAAAATAAAATTACTTATTTTAAACAACAAAACAAAAATGGCTGAGGCAGCAAAACTTACAAACAGGATCAGGCGGGCAAAACGGTATGGGTACAGATTCAGATGGAGACGGATCATCAGACAGGAACAGAGGAGGACTGAGTCGTCTGTGCATAAACAGAACAATGACCGGACGGAGAGTGGAGGAGAGAAGAGCTTTAAATAAGGCAGAGGGAGAGTGCGTAATGAGAGCACCTGGGCAGGTATCTGATGAGGGACAGGTGTGAATGATAAAGACTGGAGACTGGAGAGGCTGACTGAGGAATGGGTGGAAACTGGCTAAGAATACAGATTCAAAAACACAAGGACAGAATGACACCAGCAGAATGTAAGTAAACACAAAAAAGCAGAAGGGGAAGGCACAGAAATACAAAGACAGACAAGGACAGAGTGTGATAGCCAGGAAAAAGACAAAGGGGAAGTGAGAACAGAGATAGAGGAGGATGACTCGCTGTGGAGACCCCGAAGAGGGAAAAGTTGAAAGTAGAAGTAGATATACTTATTAGCTCGATACTTACCAGGTATGTGCCAGGTATATACTGCCAGCAATGTGCCGAATATGTTTCAAGTATATGTCAGGTACGTCAGGGTTCCCAGCAACTCTGGAAATCAAGGAAAACCTGGAAAATGGCTTCCACATTTTCCAGACAGGGAAAACTCAAGGAATCTGAACACTGATTTGTTGATTTGTTGATTAAAAGATGATCTTTCTGAGATTTGAACATGTACGTGTATTAATGCTAGTATCCTAGTATCAGTGGGTCCATGTTCTGCTTCTACAGTGTCCATAGTACATGTATTCTAACTGATCTATGGTGGCTTTTTAGTTTCTGATGTTCAAGTTCAAGTCAAGTTTATAGTCATTCACATCAAATGTGGAACAAAATTATATACACAGGGTCCCAGTTACACCCAACAATAGCAAAAATATAAAGTATAAAAAGAAACCGTATATAAGGACCTAAGATATACGCTAAAGAAACGCCAAACGGTATGCTAAAAGATCTAAGATATACACTAAAGAAACGTCAAACGGTATGCTAAAAGATCTAAGATATACGCTAAAGAAACGTCAAACGGTATGCTAAAAGATCTAAGATATACGTTAAAGAAACGCCAAACGGTACGCTAAACGATCTACGATATATGCGAAAAGATCTATGATATACGCTAAAGAAACGCCAAACGGTACGCTAAA